GGGGCCAGTTCCCTCCCTTCTCATTTCCTTTCCAGACAAAGAAGAAAAAAAAAAAAAAAAAAAAAAAAAACTTTCCAGGGGGTATAGGCATCTTACAGAAGAAATGCTATCCCAAGAAAGTTACAAAAGTAGTAAATTGTTGGGCCAAAGGGCACCAAGCAGGAACCAAAGGGTCCCTCAGCAGGTCCGGGAAAGCAGTGTTGGAAGCAGCCTCAGAGGGGGCAGATTAGAGCTGACCCCCTGAGAACCAAGGCCCTCCCAGCACACAGCACACATTCCCACTGCCTCAGGGTAGTGGTACGAGACTTAGAGGACCTGTGTGGGATGGTTTCACCCTACTCATCACCCTGGACTGCCTGGTGCCCACCCTCTCCTCTTCTCTCACACCTCTGGGTGCCCGGCTTTCCTGGTCCACCCTCTCACTCTCACATCTTGCGCTCACACCTGAATTCTTGCCACCTCCAGGAATCCTGGACACCAGGGTTCTTTCTTTCACTCATGGGATGGAGGCACCAAGACTAATGAGTCTAAAGATGGAACCAGGTGAATTAATAAATAGGGAAATAAGAAACCCTAAGATCCAAACTGGTGACCTTTCACTTAGCAGCTGAGCACTGAGCCAAGTACATTCTTTGGGCTTTGATTTCCTACTTTAAGATCCAGCCTATGGTAGGATCTTAATCATTGATAGTTACAATCCATACCATGGAGCGCATCACTCAATGAGTCTTTTGTTTTAAAGCCTTTGATAGCTTATGTTGCTGCTCTTAAGTGCTGTCAAATCAGTTCCGACTCATAACAACCCTGCATAGGGTTTCCAAGGAACAATTGGTGGTTTGAACCACTGACCTTGTGGTTAGCAGTCCAGTGCTTATCCTACAGAACCACACCAAGACTCTTCATGTGTCTTCTTTATTTGGAAAAAAAAAAAAAGAGCATTTACCAGGATCCTTGCAATAGTTAAGCGCTTGTCTGCTAATCACCACGTCACTGGTTCAAATCCACCAGTGATTCTGGGGGACAGCCTAAGAGACCCTCTGAGACAGTTCTGCTCTGTTACATGGGGTCAGGGGTCACTGTGTGTCCCAATCCATTTGATGTCAACCAACAGCAACAAGGCACTATGTTAAGCATATTACAAGTACCTCATTTCATTTCCACAACAATCTCATTGGTTAGACATATTTTACCAATCTATCTGATGTAGGATAAGCATTTGATTGCTAACCACAAGGTCAACAGTGCAAACATACCAGTCACTCTCAGAAATCCTATACAGGGTTGCTGAGTCAGAACCAACTCAACAGCACAAAAAACACTCTACCACACTGATTATGGACCAACCACTGTTCTAAGCGGAGTCCTGGTGTGGCGCTGTGGGCTAATGCACCAGACTGCAAAGCCATTTGAAATGCAAGGTCGGCGGTTCAAGCTCTCCAGCTGCTCTTCGAAAACCCTATACAGGGTCGCTATGGGTCGGAACCAACTCGACGGCACTTAACAACAACAACAACTGTTCTAAGCACTTTACTAATATGCACGGATTTATGTCTCATGACAATTCTATGAGGCTTGTTTTCTAACCCTAACCCGTTTCACAGACTAAAGGATTAGAAATTTGGGGCCTAGAGAGGAAAAAGACCTTACCCCAGGTCATGGAGTTACTGAGCCACAGAGCAAGCCTCCACTCTGAATGTTAAGGACGTGGAACGAAACATTACATCGTTCACAAGAGAACACATAGGTACCAGTTTCATTTGCCCG